CGATCTTATTCCTCGTATTACTAATAGATTATTGTACCCACCATCACCTGTTCACAGGTCTTTGAGTGGATTGATTTTCATTGAGCATCACATTCGTTGAGAACTTGGTAGTTGTGTGCTCCCATGCATCATTACGGTAATAAGCGTATCCTTGTGCTATCTATTTGTTGCAGGTGTGCTGATCTTTAGAAGCTTGCGGAACTGAGTGCTGCTGAACATTTGCATGGCCATGAGCAATGGTGAAGCTTGCTATTGCACTCTCAGCATGTGCTAGTATTATGCTGACCACTGCACTATGTTACTCTCTTACACTACTACGTGTATGTAAACGTGCGTGTACCCGTCCCCGTACGCATTCGTTTCGTATAATTATTTGTTATCCCTCTTGACTTTACATGTAAATGGGTGGACGTTTGCATGGCTGTTGGAGTTGCGTGTGTATTGTGTCTCTACTCTTTTCTTGGTGTTTTCTTGGCGTTGTATAAGTGTGTGTGTGTGTGTGTGCGCGCGCGCACAATAATTTGAAAACAAATAATTAATCCTGGGCTCTCCATTATTCTCTTTCGATTCTTGGTTTTTTTCTAGGTATTTTCTTGGCGTTGTGTGGGTGTGTGCATGTGTGTGTGCGTGCACAATAATTTGGCAACACTACATGATTGAGATATTGTAATTTGCAGCGTCTGCGAAGAGACCACTTGATTTGAGGATGGTGTTTGTAGGGTTTTTCATGTAATGACGTGGCTGCAGTGGCGCCTCAATACATATTTTTTTATCTTGAGAAGTGAATGATGTAAAGGATTAAAGGGAGAGGCCGTTTTCTGGTTAATATTCACTGCTTACAGCAGATCCTATGTCTATTTTCGAACTCGATAGGGGATGCCTAATTGGCTGGACTTTATACAGGGGGTGTTGTCCACATAAAGACTCTTTATAGTTGATTTCAAAGTTTGGACTCCGTACAGTTGATTTTGGACCAATGGACTCTATATAGGGGTGAAGCCAATTGGCTGGACTCTATACAGGGAGTGATGTCCATCGAAACTTTGAGCTCACAGTTGATTCCAAGTTTGGACTCTGTACAGTGGATTTTGGACCAATGGACTCTATATAGGGGTTGGACATCATATAGGGGCTGGACGCTCTACTGAGTCCAACATATATTTTGTCAGTTTGTCATGCATTCCGTACACACCAATCACCCTTTCAAAGCTGTTGTCACATTCCTGCCATTCCCAATCACACCAGCACTCACCAGGCAGCCTCGCAGCCGCTGATCTAATCAACCAAGACAACTACTACGGTAACTCAGCCTGGACACATCAAGCTGTCTGTGTTCAGGAGGGGTGTGCATACGGAGGTGCATCTGCACAGTTCCCGAAGCAAGACACGGTGTACTAGTTTACCAGAAATTACTGCCCGCCCTGGTAACTGTGCTAACAACGGTCTGCAAACTGACACACCACACAGGAGTGCGAAAGCTTTCAGCTACAAACAGAACCAGGAAAGCACCGCAAGTCCCATTCCAAGTAGATTTTGGTGGCAGCATTTGACGGGTAGACTGTGCTGACAGCAGGCTTGCATTGTTCCACCTCACTTAGCAAAGGACTAATTACCAAGGCAATATCATGACTAGGTACTGGTGCTGGAGAATTGACACCGTCATGATTTCTCACCTAAGCGAAGTCATCACCACAGCCATAGGGACAGGACAGGACACAGTCACTTCGAACATCACTCACTGTTCATGTCCACATGGTCACGCATTACATCACGACATGATATAATAATTTACTTGTATGGATAATATTTTCTCGGGCATTGTCATTGGAAAGTTGAATGCCGTGTAACATAGTGAGTACACACACGTACATGCACAAGAAAGAGAGAGAACAACATTACATGAACACACACACCCAGTTTCTAGTTCCAAACAGTGTGACCCTGGTCCCGTGTTGAGGAGCACAGTAACGTGGAGACACGTCTCACAAGCATACCACGGCACGGCGCTAATAAATTACTGAGATGCGTGCTGGCATCTTAGACTTAGATAAGAACTAGACTCACTGCAAACGTTGAACAACAGCAAGTATGCGACGCGAAGACACTGTCAGCAACACGGCCGCAAGATGCATCCCGCAGAATTCCCCCCGTCTAGAGTTGAATGGTATACTATTATTTCTTCCTTGGAAGGGGAAACCTAACTGCGAAGTTAGCTGCCGCAGGACTAATCCCAAAGTGACCCACCGGTAGGGGGAAAGCAGCAAGATACGACCAAACACAAGATAACAACTGTGTTCATCTGTTTGAACACACAATTCGTACAAGCACACACATACACACACACACACACACACGGGATGCACGTGAAAGATGCAGCACACTGAGTACACAGCCCTAATCAGTGCGGGACAGGAAACACAGTTATTCGGACTCCCAGTAGTCCGAGCGGATTGCAGTATACACGAAAACTGTGTCGCTTCCTTCCTGCTGAATGCAGATGGCTAGTCCATGGTGCAGACATGTCCACCCCCGGTTTCATGCGCTGGTCCAAATATTCCGAAGCCTGTTGAACACGCGGGCACCATACACGTTCACATGCTACCGAGCGCTCTGCCAACTGGTCATGAGCTGATGTCGACGACGCGCATACATAGTGAGCACCGGACCTCACGTATCCGGCTAGAGACGTTCTACACGTGGCCAGCAAAAACTGCCACCGTAACAGAACCAGACGTTGGTACTACGAGCGGAATCGGCGTCCAAAAACATGCGAACTGCAATTCCTCTGGGCAATTGGACAATTGCCATTAGTGCTTCGTAGACGCAACGCTCTGCACGGTACTGCACACCACTGCTGGGATACGACGCTAGGTAGGCATAACTTAGTAGGCGAACACACCCGTATCTATGTGTCTTGCTGCACAGAAGGTGTCTGACTATACGTGTGCCATTTCAACTCACTTGGACAAACTGGGAACAGCTAAAACTGCAAATGACAGCCCACTATTGCACTAAGAATATCAAGCTTAGCTGAGCACCATGATCAACCCAAAAGACGATTGCCTAAGTGCATGGGGTAATACATTGGTGAACTGAAGCAGCACCCCTTCCATCTGCACTCCGCAATGTGGCACTTCAGCTTTTCGGCTTCAAGGACAAGTCCATGGACTTTCCTTACTGCGACCCAAATACTGAGCACAAGCAAACGCCACTCAAAACCTTAGAGCCAGTGAATGGTGTTCTTTTTTGGTGCGATCCTCCCCACCATAGTACCACTACTACTAGTATTCATTGCGTATTCATTCAATACGTTCATGATTTGAATGGTGCGCACGCATGTTGTGTCTATCCACATTGGAGTGTAGTAATTCAATGAGGGAGAGTGCACAAAACCACGAAAAAATCCACATACTATTAGTATTACAAACTCTTAGGTAACGCGGTTGGACCTTGAACTGTGTGAGTAGAATATCATACGTAAAGAACGCATACAACTAACTTTCTGAAATCCTGTCGTGCTGGTATTGTATTATTATTTTATTCATATTTCTCTAGGCTGTTATGGCTGTTGAATTTACTGCGCACATAGTGTACGCTACTATCCACTCACCCGCGGTTCCTTGGAACCCCTGATGACTTCGCTAATCACGGCACGTGGAATCTCCGTTACATCTGTGCTGGCCTCCGAGTGGGAGTCAGCAGCGTGCTCGCTGTCCGTATCCAGTAAAAAGCTGGACATTCTCATTCGAGGTCAGCGTGTACACGTCGCTGCAACAGTCTCCGCTGCTGCCGGGCCGGGGTACTACTTGGCACAGGGGGCGATGCACACTTGGCCGTCTTCCTTTAGTGAATAATTCCCAAACTACACGAGCGCCAGAGCTTCACAGTGAACTCAGCAGGATGACCATCTGCGAGAGGAGCTACTGATCAGGAGAAAAGTTCCCATTACCATTGACGAATTTGGAACGACAGCGCACAACATTGGACTTCTGGTACCACTGGCGTCACAGGCTCCTTACCCTCCAAGTCAAACCTTCGCGAGAGGAACCCTAACTATTCCACTCCAGTCTGCACGGAGAATACACGTGATTTATGCGAAAGGAAAGCTTCACTGCATGCACGCCAGCTCACGCGCAAGCGGGAGTAAGATCCGCGGACCTATACCTACGACAACGTCGATCTTCCGGAAGTGACTGGTCGAGGATACGCTGTTCTTTGCGTCGCACCAGCCAAGCCAGGCGAACTACCTGTCCTTGTACGACAGTACAACAACAACAAGCAAACTCATGCACAGACCGCGCGCAGAACAGGCGCACACGCCGCTACTACTCTAAAGCCGTAAAGGCATAGCATAGGCTAGCTAGGCGCCGTAACATCACGCAGCCGTTCCCAGCATGTACTGATGATCTGCAACACCATGAACAAAGCGCACCGTTTCGCATGGTAGCGTGTAGAATCTATGACTCTACGAGTGTGTGCCTGATCTGAAGGAAAGCCCAGCTCAGTTCAGCGTTCAGGTAGTGTGGCCCGACAGACTGTGCACAGCACTGCACACGCTATGGGAGTAGGAGTAGGAATCAGGTCAACAGATGCTCATCAACAAAATAAACGACGTCCGGACAAGCGAACACCCCTATCTGGCCCTAGAAATAGGCTAGAATCCAGGCAATGAAACGCGGCGAGTATCTACTGAGTATCCACACTCAGTACACGACTACGCCCAGTACAGTTAGGCAAAGACATAACTAGCGCACACTAACGTAACACCGCCGATCGGATCCCTACTCCGAGCACGGTTGCAAAACCACCACACCTCGTGCCAACTAACCAGACACACCTGACACGACGAGGATCCGAGCAGCCGGCCCCTAGTAGTAGATCGACGTGTACGACAAGAGCAGCACTTCTGCAAGGCAAAGGCTGCCGATCGAAAGGAGACGGACCAACAACACCATGCGAGCAATCATAATAACTGGCACTAGCCCTGGAAAAAAACTTACTTTGGTTTTGTAGTGAGGCAGGTCCACGTACTCGCCCAGAACTTCTTTCAGCGACTTTTTCGTATCTGCACAGGAGTAGAGCAGGACAGGAAAGAAAACACCGGCATGTTAGCATGCGGGCTTGTTCATTGAGATCACAATTCTTATTTTGACGATTTCGTCGGGTGGATAAGAGGCAGTGTTTTGCGTGCAACAGCAGCAGCAACAGCTTGCAATCAACCACCACTACACGTCGTTCGACAACCTACACTGAGTATACTCTTGCAGACTGACGAAGTCGTCTCTGGAGAGACGACGCTGACGCTGGTAGGCTTCGTCGTCCATTCTGGCTGCGCTCATGGCGGCAACCGTACCCCTCACGCACGCAAACATGAAGTAAGAGTTTTCGGGAAGTGGACGGAGAATAAAAGTGGTCCAGGGCGCGCGCGTACAGCGGATGTGCTGCAGCAGGCACTGCCGTTACGGAGCTAGTGTCCTGCCACTTTCGTCTTGATTTACCAGCAGAATCCTCTTAGGATTTTTGCCCATTAGCAATCACTAATACTAGTAATAGTAGTCAGGTCACCATTGACAGCCAGTTTACACTGACTGGCACAAAAACTGTGCATGTAATAGCACTTGGAGTTACTTGTAAAGTTGTAGACTGATGGAGCTCTTCGTGGCATAGAAAAAAGATTGCTGACAGGTAGCTGACCAGTTCACCTCAACTCTCAAGGACAGGTAATAGTTTCTCCGTGCGTGTAATGTGTGCAGTCGAGTCAACAGTCGATCTACAACGCCTTGTTGTCAAAATAGCGAGGCGCAGAGCTAGAGTAGATCAATCACGGATCGCTACTGATCATAGGCACTGGTTGTGATCCCTCCACTGCTCCAGTCTAGACTAGTGCAAAAGTTAGCCTAAACGCAGCTGCTTTTCAGGTGGGAGTAGATCCACTCGGTGAGAAAAGGGGGCATGGCTTCGACGTTTTGTCGTCGCGCAAATACAGTACTACATGGTTGTACAGGTAGTTTTTCACAGTCTTCAGTGTAGAAAATTGCTAGCAAGCAAGTAACAGTTAGTTACTGTTATACTATTAGGCCACACCAAAAAGATTTCGTGTTTCCGGTCGGCCGACCGGGTCCGTTTTTTCAAAAATTATGGAATTTTTTTTGGTTTACAAGTACAAAAAAAACAAAGAAAAACAAGCAAAAACACTGAAAGCATTGTGTTGCTTTGCTCGAACCGAAATAAAAGTTTGACTGAATGCAGAGACGAAAATTCCGGAGCTGGAGAAAAGGTCGCCAAGAACGATGGCTGCTTAGAGCAGCCCGCTTTGTGCCCAGTGCTGACGATGGCTGCTCAGAGCAGCCCGCTTTGTGTCCAGTGCTGGCGGGGTGCGAAGTGTCTTCTTCAGCAAAGGATAGTTCGCGTCTCCCATGAAACCACTTTGAAGGAGTTGTTTTGTGAGGAAGTGCAGCCTCGCTTGCCTGAGGACGTCACGTCTTTAGAGTGGATTGTCGCAGCTACAGCAAGCAGCAATGGTGGGGCAGGAACGTGGAAAGATGTAGAGGTAACTGACACTGTCGGCCTTGTTGTCGAAATACGAATTTGGATGCCGTTTCCTGGATTTTCGCTTGGTGGACGTAGCTCCTGCTGCCAAGCGACCGTGCCCTGACCGTCCCTCGGCATTCGATGTGCTTCTGGGAGCAGCAGCTACTGCGTCCCGCGGTGGTATTCTACTCCATATTCCATGTGTAAATATGTATAATGTGTATCACCAGTGTCTGATCCAAACTTTCTCAATTTGGCTCATGTCTATGAACATGATGAATACAGCAGGGAAATAAACTTTCAAACCAAAAAATAATAATTTTCCGACCGACCGGGCGTATTTTTTCGGGGGGTGCCGACCGGAAACACGAAATCTTTTTGTTGTGGCCTTATAGACTTAGTATTTGCAATTGGTGCCGGTGGGACGAGTGGTATGGACCTCGAGTCAAACTAGGGCGCGTCGATAGCTTTCGCGCGGTGGCCGATGGCCCTGTGCGGGAGGCTAGCGTCGCCTCCGACATGTAGATCTACATCACCGTAGATCCACACAATGTGACATGTCCACAATAAGCAGCGAACAACGGCTGTAGTAATACCACAGAGGTTTTAGTAGCAAGACGAAATGGAAATAATTGCTGGAAATCCGGATCGGACGCTGCGCTAACATTCACACTCTGCTTCCGTTGCAGCTGGGCCAGGTTAGCATCGCCATGCTAATATTGTAATAAGAAATATCTATGCTGATGATCTGTCAATCTTTGCAATAGTGACTAACGAAGCCAATTGAAACAGTGAATAAGGTTTACGAAGCCCATTGCAATACATTGAAACAGTGAATAAGGCCCCGACACCAAAGGTGGTTACATACAATGACTGTAGCGGCTTCTACATAACCACTTTTGGTGTCATGTAGCTGTCCATTTGATCCCGATTCGCTCATTATCAGTCCTCTCTGTACATAATAATTCACCAAGATCATTTTCTTGATACAATGTCAATACTGGACTACTACTAGCACTGGTGACTGGTGTCATCCTTGTTGTGGCACTGGGCAGCTGGGCCTGCTGAGCTGGCGACTGCCGGCCTACATCAAAGAACATCATTGACAAATTTGTTATTGTATCACGTATTATAAAACAAAATCTATATCGTTCAGAAAGTGAATCGCAACTAAATAGATCAATATCAAAGGTTTTAACTGTTATTGACCAGCCATAGGTGGGCGGTAGAGCCGAGTTGCATACGTGCAACACAGAACAGTAGTATAACAGTTACTTGCAGCGATGTCTTGGTGGAGATGTTGTACTGTGTGCTGTCTCCTGGGAGGAATTCCCAAAGGAATGATGGAAGTTTGTCAGAAAGTCCATGTTTGGCCCCAAGCAATGACTACAAAGTAAGTTACTAGTATGGCTGGCAAAAGAGCAGCACTTTTAAAATAGTGATAAAGTTAAACAGCCCTGGTTTAGGGAATGTCTGGCGGAGATTACAAACGTTTACAGCAGTGAGTTACTCACATTCTCAGCAACATGCAACCTTACTTTTAGTTTTAGCTGTGCGTAGATGTACATTGTATCATTAGACCAGTGAACACGCACGCACACACACAGACACACACACACACACATGCACAAGCACGCACGGACATACACACACACACACACACACACACACACACACACACACACACATGCACGCGCGCACACACACTCAGACTCAGACATGCCCATCGCGAAAGCGATGATAGCGAACAGCTATGTTAGACGTAGCAACTTGTGCTGGGATTACACCATTCAACAGCTTGGGCTGCCACTAATTTTTAGCCTGGTATCCACCACACAGCTGATTGAAATGGCTTTTTCTGGCCAGTGAATCCCTATTTTCCATTTTTTAAAATTCATTTTTTCTTTTTTTTCCGACACACACACCACACCACATACTCCAGCATACACTGGCTGTTGGTAACCACCCAGGAGAATGAAAGAAGAGCTAGGAGAGTGAGAAAGAGAAGAAAGACGTGTGCGATTATACCTCTCGATTGGAAATCGACTGCACATACCACTGCACCATCAGCTCACTTCTAGGTTCACTACTAATGCTAATCTATTGAGGAACGAGAGCAGTTAGCACCAGGGCAGGATCCCAACATGATAATGGTACAAGCAGCAGTGGGGGAATCAAAGGAACATTTGCTGATTATTTTTGTATGTTTGTCACACCAGGGTGTACAGCAATAGTAGTACTATGAAGTATGATACCCGCTGACTGCATGCAACAGGAACAAGAGAAAAGGAAAGGATGCGTTACAGGGTCTGTTTCAGATGTGGACCACGCGTTTCCTTGCTTTCCTGTGCACACAGGTGAATAGCCTGGGTGAGGAAGCAGCATGAATCCATGAACGGTTTCAGGAAGCATGGCAGTGCAATGTTTGCCCCGATCAAAACGTCCTTTCCCTGGCCAATATCCAAGGCTCAAATAGACTATGTTAATTAATGCCATGGTTAAAGCTGCCAATGGGTGGCATGGTACATGTAATACAGCAAAATCACCTCTGCTGTGATACGCAGTCACGCAGCTATTATGCACCATTGGGTACTGTACTGTGGAATGGCGGAGATGCAGTCCTGTACTCTCTGCTTATTATGTACATAACCAGGTATGCACACACTAGTAGTGTGTGTGTGTGTGTGTGTGTGTGTGTGTGTGTGTGTGTGTGTGTGTGTGTGTGTGTGTGTGTGTGTGTGTGTGTGTGTCTAAAATACAGTCCATAGAAGTCATGAATTATTGACATTCTGCATAAAGCAAGCCAAGTTACTATACATGCACTACCTACTAGAGTGCATACTATGCATGTTATTGTATACACATTTAAATGATTTAATATCATCATGTTCTGCACCTACCACATACACTGTACACGATTTAAAGTAAAGAGTAAGAGAAAAGTCCGCACGTCCGCGTTAAAACCCGTTATACAATTGCATTTAGAAACAAAACCAGTCCAAAGCAAAAATTGACTGTCACCGCCAGGACTCAAACCTTCAGACCTTCCCTTGAGGCCAGCGATGCTCTAACCACTGCTATGGTTGTCCTATTCTTTTCCTGTTATTTTATTAAAGGCACATCTGAGCTGGCAGGGTGTCTCTAGGAAGTTTCGGACTAGTTCCCAGGCTGGCCGTAGGCTAGCTTTGCTTTAATAAGGAATTTTTGACCCAAGAAGGATCACAGCCTGATTGGAGCAGGGGTGGTAAGCTTGTGATCATATGCCCCAAACTTTCCACCACAAACACACAGCATGCACTATGAACGATAGGAAAACACTGTGTTTTAGCACAACAGATTATTTGGTTTGGAATGCGTGTTTTATTCGACTAAAGCTTTGAGTTCCACGCATAGGCAGTCATCCAGTAGCAAGCAACTGCAAAGTCTACTGCGTGTGATATCTGAGAGATCATTGTCTTGCTACAAAAAGCAGCTCAGGACATGACACACATACTGCTCAGTGCAGGAAAGGGTGGGATCCAGAATGAAATTTTGAAAATTTGGGTTTTCGGCTTTTCACACATGATTATAGTACTTGAGGAATTCTTCAGCCACACAATTTGGGACAAACAGGTGCTGGAGACAAATGAAAAACATGTACTGTACAACTGTCTGCTGGCACACAGCGCACTCGCCCTGCTCTCCTCAAAGCGGCTGTGTATAGGGCGGGATGGGTAAGGGATGGGTGGGGGAAGCGGTTAGCCCATGTCCCCGCCAACACTCCACCATTCCTTGCAAGGCATCAATCAAGCCTGAATGCTGAACAAAGTGGGCCAGGAAACTGCAAAGTTCAACACGGCTTGATATGCAATGTATACTGCTACATTCTACCTCTGAGGGTGTAACCACTTAAGAGCAGTAGGTGATTTAAGGGAGGCAGGTTACTTGTAGTGTCAAAAGTTGCATCTCATACAGTGTTGTACGGTGACACTCATCCACCCTAAAGTGTAAATGGGATGGCAACTAACACGCTGGCTGTCTCCGTTACTAGGCCAAACATGCCGAAATTGCCACTCACAGTAAGCCCCAAACCATGATTGCATGAAGCCTGGTCGTAACTGGCTATATCGATGCTGTCCAGGCCCACAGCACATTGTGTGAAATCAACTTTGCGCAAAGAATGCGTGCCAAACATTGGCCAAACGACCCCAATATGTTCACATGCTCCGACCCGGTGTTTCGACCAGACACACACACACAGTCAACTTAATGCATAGACACCATACGGCAACTGCAGGGAGGAGCATCACAAGTGGCAAGATACCTTTCATGATCTCTAAACTTAAACTGGCGAAGTGTCCAACACCCCTCCTACAATATGTGAGTTCAGGTTCACTTGTCCACCAAGTGTGCCGTTAGGCTGCTGGAAAAGGTTCAGTCGGAGCAAGTTGTTCCAGTTTCCCATCAGCGTGCCAGGAGACTATGCCAAACCGTGTGCTGCACTGCCAGCTAAGCTGCTCACCATTCTGCGAGGTAGATGGCTATGAAGCCCAAACACTCTGCATTCACAACCCAGACCATTCCTGCCTATTTGGGAGGTTTCACTTGGAGCACACTGATCTTATTTATGTATGTGTTTATTTATTTATTTATTCACAATCACGTGGCACTAGGCAATGAAAAGGTGATGTGGGCGATAGCCAGCCATGGTGGTAATAGAGGGGAGAAAGAAAGTCTTGCATTCACGTCGGGCTGTACTAGTTGCAAAGACACTCTGAATGCGATATACTATACCCAGGACGGTGCCAACCACCACACAATTACCCGGGCCTTATCTTTGCATCAGCATTACCGCTACAAGTAGGCATTTACCCGGAAAGCAATTGGTCTCCCCTCATAGGTACATGTTGAATATAAGGATTCTCACCATTCATTCAGCCAACATAGTGCTTTGGGTTTTGAAAATCCAGCTTGACCGGATATTCCTAGTCTTAGCCCGTTTGGGACTTTATTTGCCATGTATTTTGCAACAGTATACCTAGCTGTCTTCATGTTACTGTACCTGGCTACTTATACGTGGCTGGAGTTCTAACTCCCTACACACTGACACTTCCAACGTGGCAAAGAATTACTTCTGATGACGATGACTAAACCATAGCTGAGGGGTCGTCGCAAAAGTGTTTTGCATCGTTTGTTTCGTACTCGGACCCCTCCCCTCCCTCTGAAACGAATGTACATTGTAGCTTGCTATGCTGGACGACGAAAATTGCATGCATGTACATGTACAGGTTACAGTGTCGGTCGACTTGCGATTTCAGCTCGCACCCCCCCCCCCCCCACACACACACACAAACGGATGATGTTCGTTACAGGGACGACAAAATACTTGTGCGACGATCCCTACGTGGTCAGAGCATCGCTGGTCTAAATCAAAGGTCCCTGGTTTGAGCCCTGGTGGTGACAGTCAATATTTTCTGTTCCCTTTCCAATCCCTGAGGCCTATGAGTATCACTTCCATTGAAGCATGTTATAGCTTACAAGTACACTTTACCAGTGTAAGCAAGAGTAAATAAGCTCCCATACTCTTGGTGCAAGCAATGTCACTGTTTGCACTGCAGCCCGTATAAAGAGCAGACCTACTTTCTGTGCGTTCTAGCGTAGAGGGTGACAGTGTTCAACAGGGCCGGCCAGGGCGCCCTTGAAACTTTGAACTAATAAGTGGTGGATCCTACTTCTGGAGTATGCACTCTGGCGGAGGCCTCAGGGCACTGGATTGTCAATGACTATCAGATTCTGTAGTGGTTAGATACCCATCAAGGCCCAAGTTTGCACTACTGTTGTTGGCAAGGTGAACTAACTGTCCATAGACTAGAGTAGAGGTGAAACATGGCCGATCAGTAATTGGCTGGTTGCTATTCCTGTTGGCCAAACAAGACTTCCACTTGTAAAAGATCAAGTGGGTTATGGAGAGTTTGAGCTGTACCCATCCATTTGCAGCCTACACGGGCTTTAAAAAAGAAATACTGTGCCGCAGATGTCACTGCCATTCACCAATTACGCTAACAGAATAGTTTCTGCTCCAGTTCTCTATAGTCAGCCAGTCTATTTCCAATGAAGTGAACGGAAACATGAGCACTCTCAGCATCTTCACAAGTCGTCATCTACAGGACTACTGGAGCAGATGATCCTCGATTCTCAGCAAGAGCAATTTGTTTTCGTTGCCATGACTTTCATGCAGAATTCCCACCTTTATAGCCACACACTCTGTTGGCTGCACACAACAATTTATACAGTCTCCCGGTTTTAGTTATTGCCAAAGGTTGCTCGAGATTGGAAAGAGAACTTCAGTATCGACAGAGTTTAGTGGTAGAGCATCGTTGGCCATAAGTGAGGGTCCCTGGTTCGAGTCCTGGTGGTGACCGCATAATGTTTTTGAATTTTCTTCAGACTTCTCCGGTTCAACTCTCTCGAACTTAGGAATATTCATTATGGACATATTGCATTTGGGAGAACACTCTTTAGACGTTTCGTCGCCTGCACTTGCCTTCGACCTCTGGAGCCTGCAGTGATTTCAGAAGCGCTTGGAGGAGAAACACTAAATTCACTAGGTGTGGCAGAATGTTGAAGATATGCGCATTGGATGGCAATAAACAGAATCAGCTGAAGCAATACGAAAGGTTTATTGAAATGTCCCGAACAAGCTCTAGAGAATGTGGTGATGGACAAAGAAATAACTTCTTACTAAACACTACGCTTCAGCTGATTCTGTTTATTGCCTTCCTAACACTTTTGTCACCTCTCCGCCTGTTCAAATATGGCATTAGTTCAAACTGTAAGATGACAGGCTAGCTGTAGATCATGGACCAGCGCACTGAGCGCAGGCCACAGATGGGGCAGCCTTTCTAAGCGGCTTACTTCCAGCCATGTCCACACTGTGCCCATACAGTGTATTCGGCTAGTAAGTAATTCGTTTTTAGTCTGATCTTATCAGCCAGTTCTTGCAGGGGGTGGGGGCAGGGCAGGCAGGGCAATAGTGTGGCCATCTTCTTTGTCCAGGAAAGCAGTTATTGGTTCAATATGAGAAGAAAACAAAGCTCCAGCGCAGTGCGACACTCTCGTCTAGCAGGAGTATGACACCACTAACAACACTACTACTAGTTCAGCAATTATATTTTTTTGTAAATGGGCTAATGACACCATCACGATGTCAAACAACTGTGAACTGTCACTCTTACACCTTTCCATCACCGCTTGCAAACAGTCATCTTCATGTAGGTCGTGGTTCACGCAATCTCAACAGCAGCAGCAGCAGCAGCAGCAGCAGCAGCAACGCAAATAGTCTACTTACCTGAGGCTGAGCTCCGCTGCAGCTCTTGCATCCCTTCCAGCAGCCTGACGGGGTTGAACTCGGTGTCCGGCAAGATGGTGGGCAGTGCGGACTGTGCCGACCGCTTGCGCTCGTTGGCCCGTCGACCGCGATTGCGTCTCCACTGCGCCCAGGTCGACTCCGACTGTGTGCGCTGGTTCTGGCGCATCGGCGGGGTCATGGCCCGAACTGTCACTGCCGCCTCCATTCCGAACATGCCGGAGGAAAACGCTCTGGTCCTACTACTATTAGTGCTTACTAGAGCTGTCACGGAGCAGTATTTCCGAATCGAAACTCAGCTCCTTTCGTTTGGTCTCAGTCCACATGTGTGATTGTGCGAATGTGTGTTTCGGCTGGAGCAAGCCCTATGATAACTACACAATTAGACAATGGAACGTAAGTTTGACCAACCGCTGTGGGCATCACAAGAAAAGACCACATCGAGCGGAGCCTGAACATTTTTACTCAAGTGGGCTAGAATAAAGGTAACTAATAACTAACATTATAAGGTTGAATCGAACAACAAACTTGGAAAGCCGTTGCATGTTCCGTCGACAAGCAAGAGAGTCCGCTCCGGACCAGGGCTCAGACCTCTCCCCTCAATGAGTCTCTGCTCCCTAGCCAGCTTTGCTGCAGCGCTCTTTCTCCGGGCGGTGCGGAGCGCAGTTCAGTCAGTTTAGCTCCGTTCTCTCGCGACCACACCGGGCAGCAGGGACTCTTCTCCGGGTTGTGATGTATCTTCTCAGGTTCTGCGTTTATGATTGTTTGTATTGTATTTGTAGTGTAGTAACACCGTCGCGTCATGACTGACTAGTACTAGTAGTATTACTCAGTGGTCATGTCGTCACCTTGGTCACGTCACTGTCGTCAGTCCCCCCGGCCCCAGGCCTCCCTGGCCGGCGGCCTCACTCCGTCCGTGTGTGTTTGGCACTAGTGAGGTTTTGCATTCCGAATTTCGGTACAGCGTTCTTCGGTCATTTGTCGAACATCAAAATGTCGAATTTTCGCACCAACGTTTGTTTTGCAAGTCGAAAATGATGTGTTTTCATTTCGTGAGCCCCAGCATCAGCAACGTCCTGTCCCGTGCTCCTTTTCTTGCTGATTCCAACGAACTTTGATCACCCAAAGAGTCGAGGGCCAAACCTGCCTCCTCAGTCGCCTCAGAAAAACCAACTGGCAACTCCATGGCCAAGTCAAATTTTATGCGTGTCGCCATAGTCTTTTCAGCCACACAGATGACGGTGAGGACACTCCAGGCGAAAGAGAGTCGACAGGCAGTGGAGAGGAGCAATCAGAGGTAGCTGACGATGCTATGTCGCCAAAGACGCCTGCCAAGCAAGGCCGAGATAAGAAACCTCTTTGAATAAATCACGCGCTAGCGCTCTTCTACAAGAAAATGCATCCGAAAAATATTTTCGGCAAAGTGAGCTTTTTCCGAACAAACACGCCGAATCTTCGTGTGCATTTTCGACCTCGCTCCCACGTGCCGAATCTTTTTGCCGAATTTCGGAATGCAAAACCTCTCTACTGAGTCTGTGCTGTCTGTACCGAGCTGAGTCACCTGGTCACTGGCTGGATCATGGAGGGTAACCACGTACGAGTAGATCTACTGTGACGTAGATCACTGTCTGAGTAGATCTTGACCAGGAAACGCTGCGTCTTCCGGAGCTCCGAAACTCACAAATAAAAGCTACTACAGACTCACTACACAGTCTACAGACAGTACAGACTCAGTCACCTGGTCACTGAGCTAGTCAGTACACAAGGACATGCAGTCTACAAATAAAAATCCTTGGTCAGGACGTGTGTATTTTGTCGTGTGCATGTGGCCAAAGAAGTGTTTGAGCGACTGAAAAAGGAAAGTAACTGGTTCGTTCTCCGACAGCCAGGGTAGGTCTGCCCTCATAAACAGCATGGTGGTCTTTCCGAAAGCAGGAAAAGTAGGCATTCATCGCCTGTTAGTGCCACGCCACTCACCAGACGAGTCGACACTGACTGCAGAGTCGCTCTCTCCGGCCTAACTCAGTCCGACAGAGTGACCTGGTGTCAGCACTAGTACTAGTAGTAGATCTACGCTAGAAATAGTAGTAGTAGTAGTGCCAGTGGTGACATAACTCATAATAAAGATCAAGACTCAAGAGCTTGCATTGTTGCAACGCAGCGCAGTGCGACGTAGATGTATGCGGCGAGCGCGACACCTGTGGTGTGTCATCATGGTCATTGCAGTCAGTATGCCAGTGTGGAGTATTCGCCCACTTTCCGGCAGATGAAGTGGTGTGGTAAACAAACGGACAGGTCCTGTTCTTCGTGGTTCACCCTGGCGCTGTACATTCAGATTGTACTGAATCAGATTGTTTATTACAACAAGGACACCGCGTCATCGGCATCAATGGTGAACACTACTACTAGTACTACAGTCAGACCTTTAACCGCACACATCCGTTTTCCACAAAAATATCCGGATAGGCGAGGGAACTGGATAATCGAACGCCGGTTTTGTTGGATGCATCACGTATGCTGTACATCTGTAACAAGCTATTTTCTTCTGGATGGCGAGGGATCCCGACAAACGAGGACCTGATAAGCGAGGTCTGACTGTACTACTACTAAGTACTAGAGTCGATGGGATCCAGACAACAGACAACAGACTGGCTCGAACTGACTCAGTAACTGCGCATGCATTGTCACTGGCACTGGCACTGTCTGTGCAACCGTTCAGCTCTGAGACTGAATGCAGAGATGCCAAACCTCTGGGGATTCTCAGTACACCATGCTACATGGACTGCTACATTGCAGTACATTGCAGTACATTGCAGTACATTGCAGTACTTGACTGTATTGTTCAGACTGGCTTTTACTGACTCTGTCTGAAGATTCCAGTTGCTCGAATGGATATTAATATCATTACCTCCAGCCCTGGTGCCAGGCCAGCACTGCATAGACCATGCTATACAGGAGCTGTGATGCACACCAACGGCCTGGGGCGACACAATCATCATCTTCATGCTACTGTTTAACTGTAAGTCCAAATTGCAATGAAACTACATTGTACAATTATTACAGTACGATATGCCGGCTATACGAGCCCTTTCAAGCAGAGAAGCCCCTAGGCCCTGCTTGGAGGAGTGAACAGCAAATGAACGATTTGAACAAACTGACTAGGAGATTTTGTTGGAAGAAGACAAAAATAGCACCATCACCATCTCACAGTAGTCCATCGGCCAAATCTCAGAAAGGAGCTCTTTCGGCGAAGGTGATGCACTGAAGCTCCAACTAAACGCCCTTTGGCACACTAGCTCATGAGACCCCATAGAATACGAATCCGATTGTTGGACGTTGCCAATCCAGTCCAGGATAGTCGAACTGGGTCGAATACCTTCTTCCGATTTTCGTAATTTCGTCCACCATTACATCTTTCTCATCGACTTTTTTTCGCTTGGCGAATGTTCTTGAGCCGCTGAGCAGAATCTACGCACGCTCGAACACTTGAAATGCCTGCATGTTGACGGTTCGCAAGATTCTAGCGAGCTTGGTGGAAATCTATTATTTATTTTGACATAATTTGGGGGAATCTGAATTAGAACGGTAGAAGCTCATTCGGAGAAGACGGCGTGTCGCCGCTGTCGGATTGTCGCTACTGTGTTTCAGACGTATTTGCTTGAACGTGCTATTGAGGATGGACAGAAGATGAAGTGACGGCTTTCTTGAACACGGACGTTGTGTCTACATTGTAGCTGAAACATCTCATCTGGCGTCGAGAACGCAATTATTATGAGTTGTGAGTGCCAGCTGAGCTGAACACAAGCTGGACACCATTCGTCAGCTGGGAATTTGCATCGAAGCTCTTGATAGCCACGATAAGCATAATTATACAGAGGTAACCTTGTTTGACTCAATACGCATGCAGGTGATACCACTAGTGGCACTACAATGTAAATGGTGCAAAATTGATGCAACAGCGAATATGTACTTCGTACAATCACGAACAATTGTAAGGCAAGTGTTCATGCCTGTCATAGAAGAATTTCAGCCCGGAAGTGTTGTTGTCATGGTCATAAATAATACAGGACTTGAGTTGGCTCTGGACATAACACACACTTGTGGTGAATACGGTCATTATTGCGAGAAAAATATTTAGCCACTGTGTGTTAACTGATGCCGCACTACACGCAATATTTCATGTACATGTATGTGAGACTCAATTGCATCCACAAGGCCGTAGATGCATGTAAGCACACAATGCTGTACAGTATAAGTAGTAGTCGACATGTGGTGCCTTCCTGCTGCACATGCGGCAAGTTGGCAACGACACATGACCTATCGGCACCGCACAGCGTGAGCTTAGAAAGGAATATTGCACACATAGTGCTATTTGTGTTCCAATATCGTTAAGCCGGTATACATGTACTAGTATCCTTATACATGTACCTGGTCACTCGATAGGCGATGCCGACTGTACTAATCTTATCCATATTACCCGATAGGCTATAGCACACTGCGTCAGATCACTATGCAACAAAACAAGAGCTTTGGAGCGAATATACATTGAAGCAAAGTAGGTTTCAACGGTACAGCACTAGTCACGATGAGGGAAGTTACGAGGATGGTTAGGCCGTGACACATAGATGATGATTGTTAATGATTCATGCACGGTGGAAAATTCCCACCAATGGCGATGATATTGCTTTCACAACAATGACATCAGTAGGAGCAGTGACACAACCTTACTGCTCCAAGTAGGATTTACAAGCGAGTGAAGGGAGAGCAGACTGGTCTAATAGCAGACCGGGTCTAAGCAAGGAAGTAATCGGCATCAGAGGTGAGCTTGCACATCAGAAAACAGATGATGATCACCAAACACAGAGAAGTTGGCTATGTGTATGTTTGTCAGTGTCACTGTGTGTGCATGTGTGTGTGTTTGTGTGTATGCGCGCACATCTGTGTGTGAGAGAGAGAGGCAGACAGACAGATAGCATATGGTGGGAGGGATCAAGGTCTGACCTCAGAGTTAAATGCTGACGGTGTGGAATAGCAACAGTGCGAAATCGGGCAGGGTGGTTAATAGCCCACACTGGAGCCGAGTAGGAGCGCCAGTGGTTGAGGGCTAGCACAGGAGTTGCAGCAGCTCCAGCCTAGGAAGATCAGCTTCTGGATGAAAATCTCCCGGATACAGTAGGTACCAAGCTTCACTAGCAGATTGCCCGCAGGGGTGCACGGCGAGCACCCGTACATCCCTCAAGCCACCAGAGCCGCAGTACTTGGACACGATCCAGGTGCTTACCCGACAACAATGCTGAGAAGGCACTGGAGCCATACAGGAACTTATGATCGAGCATGACCACAGACTTGAAATACAGGGTCCGGCGTTGAATACTGAGACAGCGACGTCTCCTCCACAGAACACCACTCAGCCCCACCATTGCATTATTTTCGCTTTTTCATGATTTTTACAATTGTGTTAGAGCACACAGCACTCGATGCAACATTTACCAGTGACTAAATAACTCCGCGTCTCCGACCATAACTGCAGCGTTCCCGTGAGCCTGTTGGATTTCCGTCAGCCTGTTGAGATTATCTTCATCTCGTCACATGTGAGCCTGTGTGTTTCATCCGTATCGTGGCACAATTACACAGACACGATTTCCAACTCAGGCCGGTTCCGTTGCTCGAAGGGTTGGCGGTAAGAATTGCTACGCCGTCTGTGGCTGCATGGGAAC